GCGGGCGGGAAGGGCTGCGAGGGGCCTGGTCACCGAGGCAGGGCCCGGGGCGGCGGGAGAGCGCGTCGCGGTGAGGGGGGAACTGCGGGTCCCTGCGGCGCCGGGTCCTCGGTCTCCTTTCCCCGCTGGGGTCCCTGTTCAGCAGCGGGCTGAGGCGGGAGCAGCTGGGACACGGATCCAGGGAATGTGCAGAGCGGGTCGGTGCCTTCCCGGTTCCCCTCGGGACGGCGCTGGCGGAGCGGGCCCCGGCACTCGGCTCACGCCTCGCGTTTCCTGTCTGTCCTGCAGGAACCCCCTCCTTGCACACTCCGGGTGCAGACAAACCCAATTTCCTACTTTGGCAGCTGCAGGGCAGAATAGAAAAATGAGTATTTTATTTTCGAGGGTGATGTGAAGGGAAAAAAGGGCGAGAAGAGGCAGAATCCTTAAAATGGGGGAACTCAGCAGGCTGCCTGCTGGGCTGTCAGCAGCAGGGCAGGGTTCCACCACCCCCCTTTGCTGCACAGTTTGGTCTCTCACCTGCCCCGCATCTGGAGGTGTGAGAGCTGCAAGGTGTGTCCGTGGAGATGGGGGAACAGGACCCTCAGCAGCTTCCAGGGGGAACTGGACAGCAGAGCTTTCCCCAGGGTCTCTTCAAGAGCTCTGGTCTAGGCTGGTGATTTATTGAGCAAGTTCCAAGCTGGTGAATGTTCCACACAGGGAGCAGGATTTACTCTCAGATGATTTTGAAGTTGTTTTTCTTGCCAATGAATTGTGATCTCATTGGAGGATTCTTGCTCCACGTGAGGATTTGTTTAATAGGACTTGTAGCCTTTGGGCCACCTCATTATAGTGCATTTGAAAGCAATGGGTGTCAAACTGGCTTTGCCTGCCTTAAAAGTACAACTTCCTTGAGCGTGCAGATGAAATAAATGAGTTGGAATGGAAGTGTTAATCTTAGTTTATCAGTTCAGTCTTCTCATCTTACTTAGAAAGTCAAGTTTTCTCTGGGGAGGGACTTGGGACAAGGGCAGGGAGGGAGAGGACAAGGGAGGATGGATTAAAACTGGAGGCAGGGAGATTGAGGTGAGACATGAGGATGAAATTCTTTGCTGTGAGACTGGTGAGACCCTGGCCCAGGTTGCCCAGGGAAGCTGTGGCTGCCCCATCCCTGGCAGTGTTGAAGGGCAGGTTGGATGGGGCTTGGAGCAACCTGGGCTGGTGGGAGGTGTCCCTGCCCATGCAGGGGGGTTGGGGCTGGATGATCTTAAGGTCCCTTCCAACCCAAACCGTTCCATGATTCTATTATATATGAAGTTCTGGACAGGCTTTAAGATGAACCATGTAGATTGGAGAACATATCTCTGGCTAAATCTGCTTTTTTGAGAAGAGTGAGTTGACCTTTTGGCAGAAGTGCCTTCTCTGCTGACAGAGCAGCTGCCCTCTGCTGCTTTGGGGCCACCCTTCTGGAGTCTGGATGTGCAGCAGTGAGGTAATTACAAAGCCATGAAACAGTCCAGGCTGGGAGTGGGTGTGCAAAGTATGTTCTGAGTTGAGGTTTCACCTCTTGTCCCTCCTGGTGTTGAGTTGTAGCCTTGGGTTGTTGTGTCTGGAGCTGCAGAACAGACAAGAGGGACAACACAGAAACACACTGAGGCTGGTGGAGCTGGTTGGAAGACAATCTCTTCGTTTTTCTTGTGTAACAAAGCCCAAATCCTTTTTGGGTAACAGATCCAAACCTTGTCAGTCCCATTTCCACAAGTCTCTTTATCATTTTAAGGTCCCTTCCAACCCAAACCATTCTATGACTGAAGTAACCCACTTTCCAGCAAACTCCTGACAATATCGCTGCCTAAAGCAGAGAGGGGATTAACGTGTCTGTTCTGATTTTACCAGATATATTGAGGACATCATGAATTGGAATAAAGGTGGCCCTGGTACTAAGAGAGGCTTTGGTTTTGGGGGATTTGCTATTACCCCTGGGAAGAAAGAGGAGCCCAAGCTGTCTCAGCAGTCCCACAGCGCGTTCGGAACAGCCGGTTCTTCTGCTGCCTTTGCAAAATCAGCACCTCCTCAGCTGCCTTCTTTCTACAAAATTGGGTCAAAACGAGCAAATTTTGATGAAGAGAATGCGTAAGTGGAGTTATTGCTTGTGTTGATCTCCATTTTGGTGTTTTGAAGTTCCCAAGGTCAGGGAAAGGATGACATTGGTGGGGTTTGGTTATTTAGAACCCGAACGCTGCGTTATGGTGCAACAACCCCTGGAGCTCTGGGGATGGTGTCAGGAAACATGGAGCTGCTCACATGCAGGAACTCCCAGCCCTGCTCTGCAGCAGGCTTTGGGTGTTTGTTGGGACCAGGTATTTTGAGAGAATGGATTAAAAGTGGAAGAGGAGAGCCAGCCCTGCTCTGCAGCAGGCTTTGGGTGTTCGTTGGGACCAGGTATTTCGAGGGAATGGATTAAAAGTGGAAGGGGAGAGATTGAGGTGAGACATGAGGAGGAAATTCTTTGCTGTGAGCCTGGCCCAGGTTGCCCAGGGAAGCTGTGGCTGCCCCATCCCTGGCAGTGTTGAAGGGCAGGTTGGATGGGGCTTGGAGCAACCTGGGCTGGTGAGAGGTGTCCCTGCCCATGCAGGGGGGTTGGAACTAGATGATCCTTAAGGTCCCCTCCAACTCAAAACATTCCATGATTCTACCACCACTTTTAGCTTAAAACATGAATAATGGTCAATAAATACATCTCAACAACTTTTCCTGTGTACACACTGCCTTTTATTATCCATCCCTATGTGGGAAAATTAACTCAGAAACCATGAAAGGCAGCACGAAGCTGTAGACTATGTGCTGACTATTGTTTGTTTCCTCTCAGGTACTTTGAGGATGAAGAGGAAGATTCCAGCAATGTGGAATTGCCCTACATTCCTGCAGAGAATTCCCCCACCCGCCAGCAGCTTCACTCCAAGTCAGCAGACTCTGACAGTGATGATGACCCCCTGGAGGCTTTCATGGCTGAAGTGGAGGCAAGACCCAGCTCCTGACATGTTTATTTCTGTGGCCACACTTTTCTCCACTCAGAAGGAGCAAATGTCACCTCATGGCTGTGGCAGCTGCAGTTCAGAATGTCCCTTAGATTTCTTAGGCAGGGAGGAACTTAGTGAGATTTAACAAGGTTCTTCTTCATCTGAGGTGGAACAACATCATGCATCAGTGCAGGCTGGGGATGACCTGCTGGAGAGCAGCTCTGAGGAACAGGCTCTTCAATCCTGGTGGACAGAATTTAGTAATGAGCCAGCACTGTGAAGGTGACAGAGCCTGGGACAGGCTGCCCAGGGAGGGTGTGGAGTCCCCTTCTCTGGAGATGTTTAAAACCCCCCTGGATGCAGCCCTGAGCAATGTACTCTGGGCAATCCTGCTTTAGCAGGGGGGTTGGACCAAATGATCTCTAGAGGTCCCTTCCAACTCCAATGATTCTGTGATTCTGATGCTTTGTTGATTAGAACTCCAAGGTGAATTAGATGGGGAGTGATCTGATTTACAGTTGCTTAACTACTGAACTGTTTCGAGCACGTCAAGGCAATGCAACAAAGAGCTTTTTGTGTCTCTGAACACAGCATTTTTTACTGCCTGAATTACAATTATTTGCATTTATCATGAGTTGTTCCTTAGCTGCAGTTCTGCTCTTACCTGGAGTCTGTCACAGTGTTTTCAGGAGGAATACCAAGAATAGATTTTTTCAACAACATTGCTGGGAAGTTATAGCTTATAAATTTCAAAGGTAGGAGGAGGAGAATTTATGTAAGATAATAGGATATGGAACAAGAAAAAGTTGAGTCCAGAAAGTGTAGTCTCTGTGGCATGATATATAGGCATTATATAGGAGCAGTTGTCCCTTACATGTTTTATCATCTTGGTTTTTAATGTCATAATTTTCTGACTCATTAGGATCAAGCTGCTCGAGACATGAAAAGACTTGAAGATAAAGACAAAGAAAAGAAGAATGTCAAGTAAGTTCTGTTTGATAATTCCCATGCCTGCCTGTGTCTTTTATGGTGCTGAGAGGAACCCAATGCATTTTCTTGATGATGATTGTTCTGTAGACAATATCATATATACCAAATAAACAGCATTAAGCTGTCCCCCATGGGTAAAGTTCTGTGCAACCAGAATTGAATAATAGGAGGGAAGAATCTTTGGCAGCATCTTGTGGTTTAAGGGAACCACACCATGAGTTATCTCACACCAGAAGCCTTTCTAGGCCACACAAATTGGGGCAGCACATTCTGCTGTCACCACCTCCCAGATCAGCCTTAAAATCCCATTTATGTGAGCAAAAATAACTCAGTACTGGAGATTCTTCCAAACCTGTGCTAGGTTTTAAGACATTTCCTAGGAAGCTGCTACGTGAGGTAGCACATGACAAGTGGGGTACTAAATTTGGAGCTTAGGAATAGTTGACATTTTTGCAGCTTGTCTCTTTTTGACCAAAGAAAAAGGATGATGCTGTTGATTGTTGATAGAAATGTCAGATACGTTGGTAGAACTTGCATTGCATGGGGTTGATCAGATGATACATGGTCCTGAAACAGAACACCGGATCCAAAGCACCACCTGGGGAAGTTCTGAACTGGATTTGCACTTCCTGGCTCATGTTCCTCTTCAGTTCTGGGACTTCTGTAGCATCGAGAGCTTAGACCAGGATGATCTTTGATGTGGCTTCTACCAGGAAGACGGAGTCCTAATCTTTCCATCTCATTAATAGAAGTAAACACAAGGCTTTGCAGGGTCATTCTTGTGGTTGGCACCTAATATGAAAACTCCATGGGTTGGGATTAGGAATGTTTCTGAGCTGTTAGTGTTGTGTCTTCCATGAAATCTGGAGCTCAGCACTAAGCAGATGAAATGATGGAGCTGAGTTTGTGGAACACTTGCAGGGAAGTTTTTTTTTCTCCGCTTGTTTTTCCAGGGGTATTCGAGATGACATTGAAGAGGAAGATGACCAAGTGAGTTCCTATGCAGTCTTTCTATTCTTTCTTTCATTTGTTTGTTGGGTTTTTGGTGTTTTTTCCCCTTCCTTCCCCAAAAATGTAACTACCAGGTACAAACAACTCCAGTATCATGCACAGTATCCGGACAATCCAGCAGGAAGCTGTAGTGGTTGCCCTGCTGCCTCTGCCCTTCTAAGTGTTTAATTAAGAAAGAGCACTAGGAAACAATTTAATCTAAGAAGATTTTTTTTTCAGTTAATTTCAAATTCTTGAACAAGTTTTTTGGTAGGTGAGGGTCTCAGCAAATCTGAAATTAGCTACCATGGAGCACCAGTGAGAGGCTGTTAAACTGTGGAGGTACTTGCAGTGAAAATTAATGTCTGTTAGGGGCAAGAATCAGGCTTTTTGTTCTTTCTTTTCAGAGAAGTTCCAGTTCTGATTGAGGATGATTAGTGTCACTGTAACAGAAACAGTAAGCCAAGAGGAAAGACTTAATTTCAAAATGTGCCTCACTACTAAGTTGTAATTCCTGAGTTACACTAATGCAGAGCATGGAAGGGTTGTTTGGCCTCTGGGCCTTTGCTTCTGATTTGATGAATTGTGCCAAAGTTTGAGCAGAGGTGACTTAAACCTGCAGGGTATTGTGTGCATGTCCATGGAACTGGGTGACAGTTGGCCATGCAAATGAGAAAGCCAGAGGAGTCTGTATATTTTTTTTGTAATTGAATCTTGCTTTAAGTGTCTGATCTTACATGTTTGCCTGAAAGTCAAGTCAGACTGGTGTTTTCTCCAGGAGGGTGTCTTGGTGTGCCAGGATTCTGAAAGGCACCTGCATGTTGGTGAGCTGGAAGGGTGGCACGTTGCAGTGGTGACAGTGACTTCCAACTTGGGCTGGTGTTAAGGGACTCTTCTGAAATAGTTTATTTCCCTTTTGCTTTGGACTCTCTCAGTGAATAATTTCTTAGGGTCTAATTAGGGGAAGTGGAGAAACTCTCTTTGTCTTCATATGTTTCAAGAATTGTAAACCAACGCTTAGTAAACTGTGTTCTTTGTTTAAAAACCTGCAGTGTTTGTACTTCTGTGTGATTCATGGATTCTCCTATTGCTAAAGCATAACCAGTCTTGGTACAAGGAGTTGTTCAGCAGACATGCAAGAGAAGCAATTTGGGTTTTTAAAAGCATTTTGTGATATAACTGACACAGTTGTTTTCTTCTTTTGTGTTTGTCCTTCTTCTGGACATAACTTGGTATTTAGTAGAAGAAACAGTACTAGTGAACTTTTTTCCCCCCCAATGGTGTGAAATCAAGCAATCATCTAGCATGTGCATCATTTCAACAATTACAGTGATATTTTTGCATCCTCTTGTAGGTGATTTTACTGCTCTGTTTTGCTGCAGGAAGCTTATTTTCGCTACATGGCTGAAAACCCCACTGCTGGTGTGGTCCAAGAAGAGGAAGAGGATAACCTGGAGTATGACAGTGATGGGAATCCAATTGCACCCTCCAAAAAAATCATTGACCCTCTTCCACCTATTGACCATTCAGAGGTAGGAGGTTTATTCTATTTGTTTGGTCTGAGGCTTTCTCGAAAGCAGGTGCTGAGAAGTAGATCAAAATAGAGAGGGGATTGTTCCTCTTTACTTGGCTCTCATGAGACCCCACTTGGAGAACTATGTCCAGTTCTGGAGCGCCCCAACAGAAAAAGGACATGGAGCTCCTGGGGAAAGTCCAGAGGAGGCCACAGAGATGATGGGAGGGCTGGAGCAGCTCTGCTCTGCAGACAGGCTGGGAGAGTTGGGGTGTTCAGCCTGGAGAAGAGAAGGCTCCAGGGAGACCTTAGAGCAGCTTCCAGTGCCTGAAGGGGCTCCAGGAAAGCTGGGGAGGGACTTGGGACAAGGGCAGGGAGGGAGAGGACAAGGGGGATGGATGAAAACTGGGAGAGGGAGATTGAGGTGAGACATGAGGAGGGAATTCTTTGGTGTGAGGGTGGGGAGACATTGGAACAAGTTGCCCAGGGAAGCTGTGGCTGCCCCCTCCCTGGCAGTGTTAAAGGGCAGGTTGGATGGGGCTTGGAGCAACCTGGTCTGGTGGGAGGTGTCCCTTCCCCTGCAGGGGAGTGGATCTAGATGATCTTGAAGGTCCCTTCCAACTCAAGCCAGTCTATAATTCTGTGATAGTTCCACTGTGCATCAGTGTTGGCAGGTGACACTTCAGTTCTGTGCCACTGAAGATCCTTCAAATCACTTCATATGAAACTAAAGATTCTTGCAGATGATTGAAGCATTTTATCTCGAAAGGACCTTTTCCCTCCAGAAACTAAGCATACTAAGCATCTTGACTCCTGGACTAACTGCAGTCATTACCCCTGCAGATTGAATATCCACCATTTGAGAAGAACTTCTATGATGAGCACGAGGAGATCACCAGCCTCACTCCACAGCAAGTCGTGGAGTTACGTCACAAGCTCAATCTCCGGGTAAGATGGTCACAAAACTGTCCTTTTGGGAGCTTCCTCACAGGTTTTTGGGCTGCCTTAGTAGTTTTAAAGGAAGATTTTCCCAGGAAATTCCAACTTTTGAACACCTTAGGTGACTTTGATAAAAGGAAGCTTGGTTTTCCTCAGCAGTTCTTGAAAGTCTTCTCTGGACTTGTCATAGTGGGCAGGGTTGTCAGTTGTGTGGTTGCACTTGGAGTAAAGAACTGGGAATTGTAACTGGAATTATATGCAAGAATTAGTTCCTGGCCATTTGTTAGTGTGGTGCCTTTCCAGGAAGGGAATTCTTGGGGGAAGAAGGAGACCAATTATAAAGGGAGGTAGATATTATGTTTATTAGATTATTTTTATTGATAACTTATCTACATTTTTATCCCTGGAAGTCCCATTTACACAATACACCTGGAATTAGCACCTAGTTAAACTGACAACTATTCAAAAAGCCATTTTCGGAGGAGGAGAGACACTTTCCACCCCCATTTTTGTACAGATTGTTCCTTTTTCTTCTCTTACTGTTCATGAACAAAGATATGCTTCTGTTTCTAAGGTCTCTGGTGCTGCTCCTCCAAGGCCTGGCAGCAGTTTTGCTCATTTTGGGTTTGATGAGCAACTTATGCATCAGATCAGGAAATCTGAGTATACCCAACCCACTCCTATACAGTGTCAGGTAAGTGTTGTTATTTCTCTCAGCATCCAATAGGACATGCTAAGGTCCCTAATGCATGTGAGGATGTAGACAATTCTAGTTTCCTCCATGGAGCTCTCAGGGAGGAGTATAATTTGTACTTTTCCAGGAAAACAGCTTTGATATTTTTTACCTATAAGTTTACCCACTTTTTTATTGTTAAATAGCCACTGTAAATATATCCATATTCTTTTCTTCACTTGTCTCTTGGTGAGACAAAGAACATGCAAGTGGCATTTCTTGCTTATAGAAATGAAAGACTTGTTTCTATTTCTTCTAGAATAACAAATAACCACAGCAGTTGCTGAGTCCAAGGACCTTGTTCCTTTAAACAGCTTAGGGTTGAATGTCTCATAACTAGAAGAGGTGTTCAGCAAGGCATTTTTTAAATGTCTTCTGGCAATTAGAATAAATTTCCATTTTAACTGTGAGCTGAACCATTTAATTGGTCATTCCTGGAGAGCTGTGCATGTGAAAGGCTTCTCTTGCATGTGGGGATTGATTGCCATAAGTAATTACGGTTATCATTAATGCGATTCTAACCACTTCAGATGCTATAAGTCTAACAAATGACATTCAAGGGATGTGTGTCAGGACTTTTGTCCATCCTGTTTGTGAAGCCCTGTGGTTGAGGAGTCCCTGTGGCAGCTGAAGAGATGAACTTCAGCACTCAGGGTAGTTACAGGAAGAACAGGCTCAGAGGAAACCTTTTTAGTGTCCTTACAGCTGGACAACGTGCATTCCTGGACATGTCATTACATCCTTGGCATGTTGCATTGTGTCCAGACATTGATTTTATATGGGAACCAACAGTCACAGCATGATAATTGCTTCCAGTCCTTGGAACAAACCAGTTCAGATCTGAACTTGGCCATGAAACTGTGTAAACACCAACGTGTGTTGCTGTGAGTCCCCTTGCTTGCTGAGTTGTCACGGAATATCTAACACAAGAACATGCTCAGGTAGGCATCATATGGGTTCAGAATCTCCTTCTTTTTAGGGTGTTCCAGTTGCCTTGAGTGGCAGAGATATGATTGGGATAGCTAAGACTGGAAGTGGGAAAACAGCAGCCTTCATCTGGCCAATGCTGATTCACATCATGGATCAAAAGGAGCTGGAACCAGGGGATGGTCCCATTGCAGTCATTGTGTGTCCCACCAGAGAGCTTTGCCAACAGGTAGGTCTGCCTTGCAGTGTGCTGAGAAAAGACATTTGGGGCAGAAATGAGCAGCGAAGCCCAGGAAACTATTTGAGATAAATCCCCTCTGTGCCTGAGCAGCCTGTGGTGTGAGCTCATCACTCCTCTGCTGGGGGATCATGACAAACCTGAAATGGGAATTTTGGGCCCAGAGCTCCCATGTTGTTTCAAAGTATTAAGGATGATGTGGCTGCAGTGCAAATGGTGGCTGGATGACTGAATAAGTTTCTCATAAGCGTGGAAGGGACTTTGGACAAGGGCGGGGAGGGATGGGACAAGGGGGAATGGATTAAAACTGGAAGAGGGAGATTTAAGTGTGACATGAGGAGGAAATTCTTTGCTGTAAGGGTGGGGAGACCCTGGAACAGGTTGCCCAGGGAAGCTGTGGCTGCCCCATCCCTGGAAGGGATGAAGGGCAGGTTGGATGGGGCTTGGAGCAACCTAGTCTGGTGGGAGGTGTCACTGCCCATGCAGGGGGGTTGGAATTGGGTGATCCCAGGTCCATTCCAACCCAAACCATTCCATGATTCCATGATATGATAGGAAACGATCTATAAGTATGTAAGTGTTCAGCCCTGAGGATTCCTGAATAATTTCACTGTTATTACCTGAAAAGTGGATTTCAGGAGCTGGGCTACATTTCCAAGGTAGATCCATTTTCTTTAGACCTGTCTGACATGACCTGTGATGTGCATTGCTCACAATTCCCAGATCCATTCTGAGTGCAAGCGCTTCGGGAAGGCGTACAACCTGCGCTCTGTGGCTGTGTATGGAGGAGGCAGCATGTGGGAACAAGCCAAAGCCCTCCAGGAGGGGGCAGAGATAGTTGTCTGCACACCAGTAAGTACCTGAATGCTCACAGTAACATCTTCTGTTGCTTAACTGAAGCTGAGGCAGATTTTAATCCCATTGGTGATGCAGAGTGTGTCCTGGTCGCTGAACTGGAGGTTCTTCATATCAGGTGCTGAGAGGAAATGTGCTGGATTTATTTGTGTGCCAGGAGGAACTGAGAGAGATTAGCTCTGATTTCCAATAGAAGACAAAGTAACAAGCAAGATTTGCTTGAGTCAGTCTCAGTTGTGTGCAATGCCAGCTTCTGATTGCTGAGCCTTGAATTTGTGAGGAAAATTCCCAGGATGTCATGAACTTCAGTGTCATCCTCCTGTGAATCAGTGTGGAGCCTGTGGCAGCAATTCCAGAGGGTTGAAATAATGGATCAGAGTGAGTGTTGGTGCTGAACCCAGTGACTGGAATGAGCAGCATTGTCTACTGGCTTTGCTTCTTGCAAAAACTGGGCAACCAATGGCTGGAGGGAGTTTCTGGGTGGCTATTTATAGTGTGCTAGGTATATTTAGGCTATTAGGCTAATATTAGGTTATTGTTTAGGTATATTTAGGCTATTTGTAGGGTGCTCGGCAAAAAAACAAAGCATGAAAAACTCCTGTGCCCCCTAACATAGGGGTTTAAATGTTCAGTTCACTGTTACAGTTTAATTGTAATGAAGATGAGGTGATCCTAGGATCTCAGCACTGTTAACAAATCTAGTTCTGAAATTCAGCTTGTTAAGTACAGACTTTCAGGAATCTCTTTCTGTGACTTGAATAATGACACTTCTAGAGTGAAGCCCTGAAATACTTTCTGTTCTAGGTCTGTGGTAGATAAGGATTAAAAAAAGTGCTTTAAGATGATATTTATTAACATTTTTAAGTATGCTTTTAAAACTTGGTTGTGTTTGTTTGGTTTTTTAATAGGGTCGTTTAATTGATCATGTGAAAAAGAAAGCTACAAACCTTCAAAGAGTCACTTACCTTGTGTTTGATGAAGCTGACAGAATGTTTGATATGGGTTTTGGTATGTAATGAACAAAGGTCACTGTTTTGGAAAGCTGTGCTGTCCCTTTCCCAGCTTAGTAGGATTCTTTATAACCCCTGTAGCTTGATATACTTGATAATACATTAAGGAAATACATTATAGACAGAATTTATGTTTTAAGGTCTTAATAACTGTTGCTATAAAGAGATCAGTGAAGTCCTGTTGTTGAAGTCCAAGCCCCCTGATTTTTATCTTAAAGTTTCTGAGTAACTTTTGGACAAGTCACTTCTGTGCTCTGGTTCTGTGTGTACAAACCAGTGGTGTAGAAAAGAACTTCCTGCTTTATTGGAAGAGGTTTGGACATTGATATCTGAATGATTTCTCAATACGGGCTCAAGAATCTTTGGACATAGCAAAGATTTGACTAGTATGATACCATAGATGGAAGTAGACACTTATCAGATGTGCAGGGTATGCACAGACTCCACTAGGATCTTTGTTTATGGAATTTTTTGCTGAAGGACCTTCCAGAAGTTTCCTTGTACAGCAAAGGAACTTCCACTGTGCAGCAAAGAGCACCTGGAAGTCCCAGCATAACATTTAGTACTGAGGGAGGGACATTCATCCATTCTGTTTGTTAAATAAAGCACTGAAGTTGCATTTTCAGTTTTTCTGCTAAATAATAATCAATCATAAAAGAGTGTACAGTGTTGTTGAGAACATTTTCTCTTTCCTTTCCAGAATATCAGGTTAGATCAGTTGCCAGCCATGTACGTCCTGACAGACAGAGTAAGTCCAAGCATCTTTCAAACTAAACTGAGCATCAAAGGAGGCTGAGGTGGGCAACCAGTTAAGAACTGGGAAGAGAGGCTGGATTTCCTGGTGCAGCCACACAGTGAGACCTCTGCAGGAGTGTTCATTCTCAGTGGGGGCAGTTGGGAGGGAGCACTTGAGTGTGGTTCAGCACCCCTTCTTGTTCATCAGTCTGTGATCCCTCCACAGACTTTTCTCAGGGATCAGCTGATTAGTTGAATTGACATTAATACGCTGTGAGATCCCGCCTCCTAAGCTGCCAGGAAAGAACATTCCCAGCAGTGCCACTTACCATCCATACCTTGTTCACTGACATCTGGTACAGTTGTGCAGGTCCTTGTGCACCAGATCTGTGCAATGTTTAATGAAAAGGTGTTTTTTCAAGGAGCTGAGCAGCTGTTTTCCTTCCAGCCCTCCTGTTCAGCGCCACCTTCCGCAAGAAGATCGAGAAACTGGCTCGAGATATTCTGATCGACCCCATTCGAGTTGTGCAGGGAGACATTGGAGAGGTAAATCCACCTGGTTTCTGAGGCAGTTGGAGAAGTGAACCATCCTGTTTCTGTTGCTTGAAATTTAGGTCCAACTGAGTAGTCATCAACTGTGTCCTGGGCTGCACCAAAAGCATCATGGCCAGTTGGGTCACAGAGGGGATTGTCCCACTTTACTCAGGTCTCATGAGACCTCACCTAGAGAACTGTGTCCAGTTCTGAGGACAACAGAAAAAGGACATGGAGCTCCTGGGGAAAGTCCAGAGGAGGCTACGGAGATGATCCAAGGGCTGGAGCATCTTTGGAGCCAGGCTTGGAAGAGTTGGGGTGTTCAGCCTGGAGAAGAGAAGGCTCCAGGGAGACCTTAGAGCAGCTTCCAGTGCCTGAAGGGGCTCCAGGAAAGCTGGGGAGGGACTTGGGACAAGGGCAGGGAGTGAGAGGACAAAGGGGATGGATGAAAACTGGGAGAGGGAGATTGAGGTGAGACATGAGGAGGAAATTCTTCCCTGTGAGGGTGGTGAGAGCCTGGCCCAGGTTGCCCAGGGAAGCTGTGGCTGCCCCATCCCTGGCAGTGTTGAAGGGCAGGTTGGATGGGGCTTGGAGCAGCCTGGGCTGGTGGGAGGTGTCCCTGCCCATGCAGGGGGGTTGGAACTGGGTGATCTTTAAGGTCCTTTCCAACCCAAACCATTCCATGATTCTGCAATTTATATTTAAGAGTAAGTAATTTGAGCCTAACAATAAATAGCAAGGTTTATGTTTGATTTTTAATTTTATTGAGCTTTCTTTCTGCCAGCAGAAATTCTTGTAGTAACAGGAGGGTTCATAAAGGATTGAAATCACTTTAACGCAATGATTTATTTTTTTAATTAGGCCAGATCAGTGGGTATATCCTTTTGTCTCAAAACTATAAATAAATTACAGCTTTTGCAATGGAGGGTTTGAAACTTAGACTGTAAAGTCTTTCAGCTGGTCTGTGTGGGAATGTTCATTCTATCCCTGCTTGGCAGTAGCAGCTGAACTATTAAACTAAAGATTTGATGATAAGTTGATGGAGTGGACAGATGTGTACTTGCTGTGAAGAAACTTTGCTTCTAATAGATGAAACTCTTGAGAAATTTCACAAGATGCCCTCAGAACATTCTTTTAACCACTTCTCTGCATTTTTTATTTTTTTCAATCAAGAATGGCAGGTATCCCTTTATAACCAAAAAAATGAATGGCTACCTGAAGCCTCTTCTTTCTGGAAAGATATTTTTTCCTAAACACTGCTTAAGAAAAGAAGCACCTTTCTTAGTTCAATCCCAGAGTTTCTGTTCTTTAAATTATTACACTGGTATCATAGATCATGGAATGGTTTGAGTTGGAAGTGACCTTAAAGATCATCTAGTTCCAACCCCCTGCATGGGCAGGGACACCTCCCACCAGCCCAGGTTGCTCCAAGCCCCATCCAACCTGCCCTTCAACACTGCCAGGGATGGGGCAGCCTGTCAAAATCTGCACTTTGCCTCTCTCAGGTTTATCAAGGAATAGCTCATTTCATCTCTGCACTGTGAGGATAAACTGGTCACCAGTTAAGACAAGGGCAGAGCTGAAACCTCTTCCAGAGGAGAATTTTGATCCTCTGCTTCCTCACTAGTTACTTCACCCCTAGTTTAAACTCCTCCTTTTATTCTGCCAGCTCTGCTTGTTGGCCATGCTGCCCTTCCTGCCCCACCTTAGTGCTTGTTTGATTTCTCTCCTCAGGCAAATGAGGATGTTACTCAAATTGTGGAGATTTTCCCCTCTGGCCCCAGCAAGTGGAACTGGTTGACTCGGCGCCTCGTGGAGTTCACCTCTTCTGGGAGTGTTCTCCTCTTTGTCACCAAGAAGGCAAATGCAGAAGAGCTGGCCAATAACCTCAAGCAGGAGGATCACAACCTGGGGCTGCTTCATGGGGACATGGACCAGAGTGAGAGGAATAAAGTCATTTCGGAATTTAAGAAAAAGGGGATCCCAATCCTGGTGGCTACTGATGTGGCAGGTATGTGATGTGCTAAGGAGCTCCTGCAAGTTGTGGCTGGCAGCAGAAAGCTGCAAGGTTGGCATCTGCACCTGCTGGGCACTGTGATCATACAATCATAGAATGCTGGGGTTGGAAGGCACCTCTTCAGATGATGGAGACCAACCCCCCTGCCAGAGCAGGAACACCTAGTGCAGGTCACACAGGAACACATCCAGACAGGTCTTGAAAGTCTCCAGAGAAGGAGACTCTGCAGACTCTCTGGGAAGCCTGTCCCAGGGCTCTGCCACCTTCACAGTAAAGAAATTTTTGCTCATTTTGAGGTGGAACTTCCTGTGTTCCAGTTTGCATCCATTGCCCCTTGTCCTACCACAGGGCAGAACTGAAAAGTGGTCCTGGCTCCCTCTTCTTGACACCCACCCTGCAGAGGGTGTTCCAGGTGCTTTTTCAGAAATACACAGTGGTAGCAAGGGGGGTGATGTTTAAATTACAATCTGACAGATGTTTTGTAGCATGCAGACAGGATCTGAGCTGATTCTTAAGGAAGTGCTGTTAATCAGCTGACACATCGTTTCAGTGAAGAGGAAATGGACACACTTGAAGGCTCTAGAACAGCTTTTGTACCCAGATGTTTCACTGAACAAAGGATGAATTTCAGTGTCCTTTAATAAAGCCCTCTCTCTTCCTTGGATTAACAATCATTGAAAGAGATCTCTAAGGGGCTCCTGCAAGTTGTGGCTGGCAGCAGAAAGCTGCAAGGTTGGCATCTGCACCTGCTGGGCACTGTGATCATACAATCATAGAATGCTGGGGTTGGAAGGCACCTCTTCAGATGATGGAGACCAACCCCCCTGCCAGAGCAGGAACACCTAGTGCAGGTCACACAGGAACACATCCAGACAGGTCTTGAAAGTCTCCAGAGAAGGAGACTCTGCAGACTCTCTGGGAAGCCTGTCCCAGGGCTCTGCCACCTTCACAGTAAAGAAATTTTTGCTCATTTTGAGGTGGAACTTCCTGTGTTCCAGTTTGCATCCATTGCCCCTTGTCCTACCACAGGGCAGAACTGAAAAGTGGTCCTGGCTCCCTCTTCTTGACACCCACCCTGCAGAGGGTGTTCCAGGTGCTTTTTCAGAAATACACAGTGGTAGCAAGGGGGGTGATGTTTAAATTACAATCTGACAGATGTTTTGTAGCATGCAGACAGGATCTGAGCTGATTCTTAAGGAAGTGCTGTTAATCAGCTGACACATCGTTTCAGTGAAGAGGAAATGGACACACTTGAAGGCTCTAGAACAGCTTTTGTACCCAGATGTTTCACTGAACAAAGGATGAATTTCAGTGTCCTTTAATAAAGCCCTCTCTCTTCCTTGGATTAACAATCATTGAAAGAGATCTCTTCCATCTCCAGTCCTGTGAACTTGGGGATTTGTGTAGTTTTGGCTACTCTTGGAGAAGACATTTCTACACTTTTATTTAACAAAGAGTTTGGCCTGTGAAGGGAACCTGGGGTGTGTTCCTGTGGCAACTTCTTCCATATGCTGGAGCAGAGTGAAGTGATAGGCTGGTATGAATGGGATGGCTTGGAATTCATTCAGGATAATCACACTCAGCTCTGTATTGTTCTTCACAGCTCGTGGGTTGGATATTCCTTCCATTAAGACTGTGATTAATTACGACGTGGCTCGGGACATCGACACGCACACCCACCGGATCGGTCGGACAGGCAGAGCTGGGGAGAAGGGAGTTGCCTACACTTTGCTGACCCCCAAAGACAGCAACTTTGCTGGTGATCTTGTCAGAAATCTGGAAGGTGCTAATCAACACGTTTCCAAAGAGCTGCTGGATCTAGCAATGCAGGTATGAATGAGCAAAGTCCTCGTGTAGGTTAGGGGAAGGTTTCCTTCCATGATTCGCACAACATCAGGAGCTCAGAGATTGGTTTCTGGCTCCATCATGTGTTCCCAGTGACCTTTTGGCCACCTGTGGTGGTTTTAAGTTGGCTTTCTAGTGTTTTTAATGGCCTGTGAAGGAATCCATGAGGAGGTCTGGTTGGTCTGTCCTTGTTGCAGGGAGTTTTGCTGACAGAAACTCCTTTCTCCTTGGCCACGCAATGGGCTAAATCACTAAAACCCAAGTATGAGCAAGTGCACAACTCCCAGGTGAATGGCTTTAGAGATTGCATTTACTCCTGGATTTATTGGAATGCAAACCCCCAAAAACTTTAACATGGATGAAAGTTCAAGGCAAAAAAAACCCAACAAACAGGTCTTTTGTAAAAAAGCATCTGTCACAAAAAGCTGCAGCCCCACGTGACAGAATCTACAGTTCAGTTTCAAAGCACTGCAGTGTTTTTCTTTTGAAATGCTCAAAATCCTTCTTTCCTGAGCCTTGTTACATGTCTTTTTGAAGCTTTTTTATTCCCTGTGTTCAGAAGCATTTGTCCTTTTCCTGCACAGAACCCCTGGTTCCGGAAATCCCGTTTCAAAGGAGGAAAAGGCAAGAAGTTGAATATTGGTGGTGGTGGTTTAGGGTACCGTGAGCGTCCTGGTCTGGGGTCAGAAAACTCTGTAAGTAGAGATGCTGAAGAAATTGTTTACAGATTTTTGAAACTTTATTATTGACTCCTTTTTGTTTAAAAAAAAAAAGTCTTAGTCCTGGAGTGTATCCTCTGCTTCCCAAGGTTTTCATAGCTCAGAATATCTAAGAGTTGATCTCAAAAAATATCTCAAGTGAAACTGTCCTGTGCTGTTATCCTGTTAGCAAGAGCTGCCTTCTTTAGGGCTAGAAGGTTTTGAGATTCTTCCTGAAATAGACTGTCGGTGCAAAATAAATGCTAAAAAAGTTCCTTGAAAAGCCATTTCTGGGCTGATTCTTGGCAGCAAAAAAATCTTGCAGCACTGGGATCACTTACTAAGGCCCATGGTATGAAAACAGCTCATTGCCAGTGTGTGGGGACAGTTTAACTGCAGAGATGTTGAAAAAGCAGCATGTTCAGCCTCTTGAAGCCTTGTTTGCTTTGTCTTGGCTGTGAACTCTGCAAAAATCTCCACTTGATTGCCCTTAGTATTGATTGTTCTGGAAGGAGCTGGGAAATGTGGTTGCCCTGTTGATGAGTGAGTCACTAAGACTTGCTGAATCTTTACTTCTCTGTCATCCTTAAGGTGATGGGACAAACTCTTGTGCTGCTCCATGCTCTCCAGGAGTTTGTCATAAGCAGATGGAATTCCTGAGAGCAGGCTTGGAGTAGAATCAGCAAATGGTTGAACTGGAAGTGTCTTGGCTGGATAAATCTCTCCAGTTGTCCTTTGTCTTTTTGCTCAGGACCGTGGCAACAACAACAATGTGATGAGTAACTACGAGGCTTACAAGCCATCCAGTGGGGCCATGGGAGACAGACTCACAGCAATGAAAGCAGCTTTTCAGGTTGGTTTGATCACTGGGAGTACAAGTTCTAACTCCAGAGCAAAGGACATAACAGCAAAAATTCACTGCTGATAGATCAAGACAACTGTTTTGTTCTTCTCCCCTGAAAATACAGAAACCTTGTTGGTTTGAGGGAAGTTGAGTTTGGTAGTTGGGGCCATGTCTTCTCCACTTGGAGCACAAGCTCACCTTTGCAGTGGAAGAATCAGTATGCAGGCTGGATAGGACATAGTTCCACAAACTGAATTTGCCAAACTTAATTTTGTTTTCTGCTGCTTCTTTGTTCTCTTTCCTGTCTGGATTCTGCTCCTTGGCTGGATCCTGTGGAGGTTGCTGAGCAGCAGTCGTGTCATTGCAATCAAAACAAACGGGACAGAGAAACCCCTTCTCTTCAGTGTAAAAATTAACCCCACAGTATAGGACTGCCCTTGTTGCTGTGCTCTGGTAGCAGGTGTCTGTTCCTAATTCTGTGCTCTTAAGCACATCAGAAATAATGGAATGGTTTGGGTTGGAAGGGACCTTAATGCTCATCTAGATCCAACCCCCTGCTTGGGCAGGGACACCTCCCACCAGCCCAGGTTGCTCCAAGCCCCATCCAGCCTGCCCTTGAACACCTCCAGGGCTGGGGCAATGTAATCACTCCAAGACTGACTTTTTAGAGCAACTCCTTTTCCTGGGAGCTCCCCAGAATTCCAGACAGGTTTGTGTGTTCTATATTGGGAGCCACAGTGCGGAGCCAAACATTGTCTTTTTTTTCCTGTCTCTCTCTTTTCTGGCAGTCCCAGTATAAAAGCCACTTTGTTGCTGCAAGCTTAAATAACCAAAAGACTGGGAGCTCTGCTGCTGGTGCCAGTGGCTGGACCAGCGCCGGGAGCTTGAACTCAGTGCCCACCAGTTCAGCCCAGCAAAACGTGACCGGTCCGGACGGCCCCGCCGCGCCCAAGGGTGTCCCGGGATTCACCAGCTCGGGGAGCTTGAGTAGCGTTCCCACCTTTCCCAGTGCCGGGGTCCAGGGCTTCAACAGCACAAATGCCAGCAGCAACAGTCGGGAAGGTGTTGGTGGCGGCGGTGGCAGCGGCGGCGGTGGCAGCAGCGGTGGTGGTGGTGTCAGGGAGCGCTACCCCGACAACCGGACCGGTCGCCACAACGAGCCCCCGCGTGGTCGCTACAACGAGTTGCAGCAACGCCACGGGGAAGGAGGTGGTCGTCACAGTGACGCCCACCGGCACGGGGAGGGCAGGCACGGCGACAGCCACCGCCAGGGCGACAACCATCGCCAGGGCGACAACCACCGCCAGGGTGACAACCGGCACTTCACCGAGGGGGGCGGTGGCAGCCGCAACAACGGCGACAGCAGGAACAGCAGCGATGGGAGGAGCAACAACAACGAGAGCAGGAACGGGGAGAACAGGAAGGATCCCACCAGCCGAGACAACAAGACAGATGGGTTTGCTGTCCCAGAGCCCCCAAAACGTAAGAAGAGCCGGTGGGACAGTTAAAAGCTGGTGTTTTCACAGCCTGGGATCTCTGCAGGTAGTGTTGGCTTTTTCCAGAGGATTTCTTGGGGGGGGGGGTTTGGTCACTGGTTGTTGAGCAGATGGAGAAGGAGAAGGAAACCATGCAAAGTGCCGGTGCAGCTGTGGACAGAGTCACTCTAGTGATGTGCACACACCATGCTTAGGCAAAGAGAAATCATTTTGATAAAGCTCCCTGGGTTCTGCTTTGAAACATTCAGTGCTCAAGTGACTCTCTTGCTGGATTTCAACAGATCTTCTTGACCAGAAAGAAGCTGTTTCATGTCCTTAGCACATGAAGAAACTGCTGTCCCTAGAAGTCTAAAGTAGTCATTTCTTAACCAGCATTCACACTGAAAGAGAACAGCCCATCTAGAGATGCTCAGGACCCACCTGTTCAACATTAACCTTTCAGCAGTTTGTTCAGTATGACAAGTTCTTCCCCACTCTCTTCTTTTTACATATTCTCTTATCCCCAAAGAATTTGGCCTCCAGGTTGCCCCTTACATCTCACCCCACCAGCTGAGAATGTACCAAGTTTGTGTTGCTGAAGGTGGGATGGAGCAAATTGATTTTCCTTTCTGTTTTTTGAGGGTTTTTTTTAATTTTTAACTTTATGATGCTGTCCAAGGGATCCTTCTCCAGCCCAGCTCACCACAAATTCCCATGTAGTGTAGGATGGACTCCCTGGCTTCTCTGTGGTCAGTACCTCAATCCCAAACCCATTGCCCAGGTATTTTTTTCCTGTCAAAAACCTTCTTTCCTAATAACCTTCATTTTGGTGGAACCCTGCAGAGCAAACTTGTCTCTCTGCTGTGCCTATAGACCCTCTGTTGTGAGAGGGCTGAGTGCTTTCTTCAAATTAACACAAAAAAGGGAAATAAATATCAAGATGCCACAAAAGTCAGAGGCTGGTGCCCCTTGGGAAGTGTTGCTACATGCAGTGGCTTCACTCAGAAGTTCAGGGACCTGCTGCTCAGAAGCCTTTTAGGGAGAACCTGGGAAAAAAAGTGATTGATGAAGTGGAACAGCTCAAATATCACCCCATATTGGACACATGTAGTTAAAACTGTAAAATCTTGCTTGACCATTTTTAACTCGTCGTGTGTTATGATCTCTTTTATTTTTTTTAACTTCTTTGGTTTTGGTTTGGGTTTTTTTGGGCCATAAAGGTAAGGAAGGAATCTTCTGTTGGAACATGTCAGCACCCACCTCTGTCTTGTTTCTACTGAAAGAAGTATCAGAACTTGTCAGGTTTTTGTGACATTGTGATGTTTTCTTCATCAGCTGTGCATTTACTTTCTGCTTGCTCTAGTAAATGTTTTATTACTGGGACAAAAATACCTGGCACAGGCTTTTTATTCTCCTTCCTTTGGATCATCTGGCATTTTGGGTGGAGTTTGGACTCCAATCCCTTTCACCACCAGTTAGGGATGTAGTTGAGAAAAGTCTCCCTGTGTTTTTTTTCTCAGTATCTTTCACCTCAAACTGTTTTACAGTCGCTGTTTTAGCTTCAAAGCCTCCTGGGGAAGAGATTTTTCTCTCTTTGACAGGTGGGAAGGATCCAGCCCAGGACATTGTGCTTATCCCAGCCTTTCATGGAGACATTTGGTAGAGCTGGAAAGGGAACTCAGCAACAGTCTTATGACCTGACTTGCATGGGTACTGGTTCCAGTTAAGATAGCAACTTGATTATTCAGGACTCCTCCCTAACTAGCTCTAATCCATCAGGATTTTTTTTAAGAAGAGCTTCCCCTTGAATTCTCTGATTAGGTCCAGGCAGGAGCCTCATTGCTCTGCTTTGAGCTCTACATATTTAGGATTAAAGCAAGGATTTTCCAGGGCAGATATGGCAGGGGGGTTAGGAGGGACTCTTGAGTTCCCCTTTCCTTGTCACACTTGTTTGATCATTCTGCACCATGAAAAGATTTGAGGTTTCCAAACCTCCCCCACCAAGAAATAGCTCCATAATCTGAAGCTGCCACCTGCTCCCTCCCTTCCCAGATCTCAGCTCCCTGCCACTGGGATCTGGCTCTGCCTGTGGCTCATCCTTGGGTTTCTCCCCTTCTTTTTAACACATCCCTCTGCTGTTTGATGAGATGATTGAAATTCCTCACCCCCCTCTCAGCTCCCAGGAGCCTCCTGAGACTGGAGTGAGTAAATACTGATCACTGACAGGGAGCTGGAAATGTCAGTTCCCAGGCTGGTGTTAGGTACACAGGAGGGTCTGTTCCAGCTGGGCAGAACAAGGTGGCAGTGTGAGCAGAATGCCAGCTACCCTGCCAGAGAATCTCTCTTCTTGCTGTGCTTCTCTCTTCCAAAGACACCAAAGCACAGCTCACAGCTGAGCAAATCCACTGCAGGAGGCTCAGGTTTGTTTGGCCAGTGCAGTCCTTGGATTCTGCTCCTGCCTGGGGGCCTGTGGATCTGTCTCCCCCTCTGCCTCTTGTCCCAGACCTGACACCCCCCAGCTGTGTCCCTTCCACATCATGCAGCTCTTGGGTGGGAGGCTGTGGATGGGCCTGATTCTGCACCATTTTTTGGAGCATTTCAAGAAGATGAATCCTGCAGCCCCTCCCTGGCTGGTTGTCCCTCCAGTGCTTCCTCATCCTTGTGACTCCCTTTGTATCTTAGCTGGAGAGATCTGGGCATGCACAGAAGTTGTTGCATGTTTCTTGTCACTGTCTTTTATCATGGAATTCCTGCCTGGAAGGACTCTGACTCATCAGAGCAGCCAGAAACAAAAATTCTCCATTAACTGGGATATGAATCCCCACTCCCAGTGATGCTGGAATTCTCCCCTCCCCTGTGGTCTGGCTGAACTCTCTGGGCTGGGCCCTGCCAGCTCCTCAGGAATGTCCTTTCCCATTGGAATGATGAGCTTTCCCAGGCTGTGCAGGTGTAGCAGGGTGGGCAGGGAAGGTGGGGGCTGCAGTGAGGACAGGCCTGGCTGAGACCCAGCCCCTCACACCCACCCTCCAGCACCTCCAGCTGTGTGTTCCACCACGGAGCCCACCATGGAGTTCAAGGATAAAACAACCCATCCAGCCTGTCTCTTTATTCACTTCCCAGGCTGCAGGAAGACCCCAGGGCTGAGGCTCTTCCCTGCTGTGCTCTGTGTTCCCAGACAACTGTGCTGTACAGCCAGGGGGGACCCAGGAACTCACTGCCCCTTCCCAGGCCACAGAGCCTGTGCCCTGCCCTCCCCGAGCCTGTCGGATCCCAGGGATTCATGCTCCCTGTTTGTGGCTGCCTGCTGGGCTTCCCAGTACCTGAGAGCTGCACCAGGATCCAGTAAGGGCAGGGTGAGCTGCAGAACAGCTCTGTGGGCACTTCCCCCTGCCAGCCCTGAGCTGGAGAGCACAGGAGTTGGTGGGAACTGGACTGGACTGCAGGACTGTGGGCTCATTACATCAGCTTTATACAGGCTGGAGCTGAAGTCACCTCCCAGGCTGTCAAGGTAAGACTGAGCCTGGAGGGTTGTTTCCTGGTGATGATTGAAGGCTTTGCATGCACAGACATCAATCACTTGAGTGTGGAAGGGAATGAGGATTGGGATTTGCTGCTCCTGTTTACACCAGGTGGGAAGGAGCAGCCGAGAGCTCATGGTCCCTTTTTGGGTCCATGGGGACCCGTCTTGTTCCAGCTGCCATCCCCTCCCCCAGCTCTCCATGCAGGTGTAAAAGGAGCCCAGAGCATGAGGATCAGCATCTTCCCAGGCACAGCTGGATGTCCAGGTGGGAGAGACCCTTCACAGCATTGTCTCCAGCTCCTTCCTCAGTCTGGGGTGATACCGATTCAGGTCCGTTAAGTCCCCTGTGTTCTCCCCACAGCCCTTCTGGCTCAGCCCCTGGGTGGGACAGGGCAAAAAGGGAGTGGAGGCAAAGGAACTGGGGATGTAGCCTGGCAAGCTGGCCTGGGCCAGGAGCACCAGCCCCAGGTGCTGGGTGCCCCCTGCCCCTCTCCCTGCCAGGCTGGTGCTGAAGGTGGTGGTGGCATGAGAGGTCACCACCCCAGAGCAGCAGCTCCCACCCCCGCTGGTGGCACGAGCCTTCTGCTTGAAATCCAGGGCCAGGCTCCTCCGAAAATGGGCTTTCTTGATCTCTGCCTGCACCTGAGGGAGAGGTGGGAGAGGGGGCTGCTGGTACCCAGAGCCAGCAGAACAGGCAGCCCTTCAGAGAGTCATGGAATGGGTTGGGAGGGACCTTAAAGGTCATCCAGTCCCAACCCCCTGCATGGACAGGGACACCCCCCACCAGACCAGGCTGCTCCAAGCCCCATCCAACCTGCCCTTCAACACTGCCAGGGATGGGGCAGCCACAGCTTCCCTGGGCAACCTGTTCCAGGCTCTCGCCACCCTCACAGGGAAGAATTTCCTCCTCATGTCTCACCTAAATCTCCCCTCTTCCAGTTTTAAGCCATCCTCCCTTGTCCTCTCTACTACAAGCCCTCATCTAAAGGTTTCCCTCTGGTTTCTCCACCTTGTGCTTTCATTTCCCCTCCAACCCCTGCTGAGAGGGGTGGATCCCAATTTTCCCTCCCATTATCCCAGCCTGGGGGGCTGTGATTTAACTTCCCTGACTCCAAAGAGGCTGGAACAGGGAGCTCAGCTGCTCACACTTCTAACTTACCTCCCCGTTGCAAAAGCAGTAGATAAAAGCCACAAAGAAACCCTGCCAAAAGAGACAGGTGGATTTTGAGTCCTGTGCACATTCCTTCCCCCTCCCTGGACCCCACACTTGGCACTGGGAGCAGAGGCAGCAGCCCTGTGCCCACCCACCTGAGAGGAGTTAAAGAGCATCTCATAATGCATCTGGATCTGCCACAGGACCCCGGAGACCTCAGTGTAGGGCATGGCCATGAACACCACGTAATGCACCCCAAAAAGTGGCATCAGCACCAGCGTGGACTTCAGCAGCTTCCTGAGGGGAGAAATGCTCTGAGCCCTTAGGCAGCCCCATGCAGGGCCTGGGGAGGGTCCTGCTGGGCAGGACAGCACTTCAGCTCCTGCTGCAGCTGCTCCACGTGTAGCTGTTGCCCCAGTGCCCAGTTTGGAGGAGGGAGCAGGCAGAGCTTCTGCTCCTGAGCTGCTGCTTCAACCACATCGAGCTGCCAGAGCTCCTGCCACCCTCCTGCCCCCCTCCTGCCTTCCAGGAGAAGCCACCTCAGCTCAAGAGGCAGAAGATGAGCCAGACCAGGGTGAGGACACATGGTGCTGCTGCCAGCACTTGCCTGTACTGCTGCCTGGGGTCCAGCTTCCCTGTGTGGGTCTCCCAGAGCTTGGAGGCCAGAACCCGGACGATGTTGAGGAAGAGAAAGAAGTTCACCTGGATCCAAAAAAACCCAAACGTGTAGGCCTGGCCACTTCAGGACAGGTGGGGGTGATGTGTGTGGTTTGTTGGGTATTTTTTTTTTTCTCCTCCTGGCTGGATGGTCTGGCTCTGTGATCTTATTGAGGTCTTTTCCACCCGTAACCATCCTGTGGTTCTGTGCTAGACCCACTGTGGTTTTTTTTTCTCCTCCTGGGTGGATTGTTTGGCTCTGTGATCTCATTGAGGTCTTTTCCACCCATGACCATCCTGTGGTTCTGTGACAGACTCACTGTGGTTTTGTTGCCCACAGTGACCTGGTCCTGCCCCAGCAGCTCCCTGGGACAAGGGCAGGCAGAGCTGTGGGGCTGATACTGTGGTTAGTGCCACTGTGGTTTTGTTGCCCACAGTGACCTGGTACTGCCCCAGCAGCTCCCTGGGATGAGGGCAGGCAGAGCTGGGTGAGCTGCAGGCAGAGCTGTGGGGCTGACACTGTGGTCAGTGGAGGGAGGGACCAGTGTCCCTGGATCCAGCAGCTCTGGGTCTCTATCCAACCTCTTTCCCCGAAAGGAACTGGGAGATTCAGCCCCAGGTTTCTTACCACAATGGCAGCCAAGATGGGGACCTGATAAATCCACTTCATGTTCCCTGCACTGAGGTCCCAGCACCTGAAGAAACCAGTAAAGAACCACCTTGGGGAAGCCTGAAATCACTGGTAAGGCAAATTGCTGGCTGAGGGTTCCCTGTGCCCCCTGCCACCCTCCCTGTCCTCTCACCCTTCCCTGCCCCAGGTGAGAAGTTTGTGCAAATCCTGACCCAACACCCCCCGTGATGCTGCAAAACAGCTTTAAATCAGCATTGACTTCCCTGGGAGCCCCCCTGGCCACCCAGAGCTCCTGCTCTACCTCCTGTGGCTTCTCTCATTTTAAAATGCTTTAGAACCTGCCCTGTGGCATTTGTCTTTGCACCAACTCTTGATCCATTTATGGTGTAAACCTGCATCCATCTCCTCCCCCCTGCCCCCAGGTGCAGAACACGACCACTATTGGTCTAGATTCCTAATGATTTCATCAACAAGCTTCTTGTTCTGGTTGGAAATATTTTGTTTTCAAAAATCCTGGTGCCCATGGATTTTTGGGTGTTTTTTGCAACCAGACCTTCCCTCCCCAAAGGTCTGTCAGAGAAGGTGGAGCTACGTACTGTGTATCTGCCAGGGAGGCCCTGACACTGGCCCAGACAGACACAAACACAGCTGGGAGACCTGGAAGGGCAGGAACCAGCGTGAGAAGCATGGATGAAGCATCACATTTGCAGACCAAGCCAGTTCCCAGCAGCTGATCTGCATCCCACTGCCCTCTGTTCCCACAGCTGGTTCCCAGCAGCTGCAGCAGTGGGTTGGGGTCCATGCTTACCCCAGCCAATGATGATGAGGACCCACAGGTAGCTCTTGTTGGAGAGGAAGGCCATGAAGATCAGGCTATGCAGGTAGAGGCCTTCCACCAGGATCCAGTAGTGGTTGGTGGCCAGAAAATAGAGGAAGAGAGTCACCACCACCTTGCAGCCAACCTGTGGGGGTGTAGCCAGACAGGTGCCCATATCAGCCTGTTCCCTGAAAGCAAAACCTGGTGGCTTTTGCCCCCTGGCCAGCAAGCCCCAGGCTGTTCCCCATGCATGGCCCATGTTCCTCCTCTTGCAGGGAGCAAGTCCCCTGGGACATCCCAGCCTCAGCCATGAGCAAGTGCTTGAGGTCTTTCCCATGGAAGAGGCATTTCCCATGTCAGGGCACTGAGCTCAGGCTTCTGTGGCACCAGGATGGGGATAAGTGGCCCCTCCCCACCCATGTCCCCCCTGAGCAGCTCAGCCCTGACCTGGGAGGGTCCCAAGCTCATCCCCTTGCACCAGGGCTCCTAAACTCCCCGTTTCCCTGATCCTGCCTCTGGTCTCCTGCTGCCACTTGCCAGGTGGCTCCGTTGTCCTGGCGTGGTTCCCATCTCTGCCTTGAACTCGTCCTCCCTCATCTTCTCAGCCTCACTGCCCAGAGTGCCCGAGTAGAGCACCATGTCCTTCAGGAAGATGCTCAGGGCCCGGCAGATGAAGGAGGTGAAGAGGTGGACATGGATGTAGTTGCGGGTGCAGTGAAGGCGCCTGCAGAGGAGGGAGCGACACCAGCCCCGTCCCAGTTTCCCAGACCCCGTTTCCCAGTCCCAGCTGCCCAGCAAGCTCATCACACCTGGGCTCAGACAACGGGGGGGACCCTGAGAAGGTGAGCTCCCAGGTGTCAGCCCTGCCATGGGGCACAGACCTGGGGTATGTTGGGGTGCCAGGCCCTTCAAGTGCTTGGGGGAGTGGGGTGAGGAGCTGGTCACACTGGGGTGTTCTTGGGAAATGGTTTGATGTTCGTGCTCAGGTTTGGGGGATTCCCTAAGGGGGTGCTGCCCCTTTGAGGGGGTTGAGTATGGGTGATGGGCAGAGGGTGCCCACCACACAGGGCTGGGGCTCCAGCTGCTCCTTACTTGAAGTAGGAGAGGATGCAGACGGCGACGACGAGGGAGGCCAGGGAGATGGAGTAGCCCACGGTGTACATCAGGTGCAGGCGGTCAAACACCTCCTGGGAGACAAGGAGGCTCCACCACCCCTCCCCAGCCCAGGCAGCCCCAGCCTCCAGGCTGGCAGCCCCCTGAGAGCCCCCTGCTCCCAGCCATTCCCTGTGCACCCAGTTCCCATCCCAACCCCTTCTCCCAGCACAAAGGTCACCTTCTCGCGGCTGCGGCTCTCGGAGGAGAAGAGCAGGGCACATTCAGTGTAATTGGCCCAGGTCTTGTTGATGCTGAGAGCCATGGCCCAGGTCCCATAGACACTGCAGTACCTGTAGGCATGACCTGGGGGCAGGGATGGG